GCTTTTTCAGATTTGTTTCAAATCTTCAAATTTTCAAGAAAAATAAGCTAAAACAAGTTGTACATTTTGTTTAAACTTGGATCAAAACCTCTTTAAAAAATGTTTTTTAGCAAGACATTTTCCGGGACATTTGACATACTGTTCTCAGAGCCGGATGTAACAGCCATTAAAGACATACTGAGACATGAAGATCCTGTTGGCTAGAGACTGTGCTTTTAACGAGACTTTACTTTAATGGGTTAAAAAAAAGCATACATTTAAAAGTTTATCCATTACAGGTGCTGGGTATTCTACTATGGATGTTTCATTTCATTTGACATTTTCTGTGTGCTCATTTTTGTTTGTTTCTCTAAATCCAGATGAATAAAAAAATAAAAAAAAGAACTAATCAAACTAAATATCCCTGTGCAATATATTAGTAATTGTATTCATAAATTGCAGTCCATGAATGCAGCTTTTGATTAATAAATACAGAAAAGCAGCACGAAACAAAGTGGACAAAAAAAAACAAACTTTAACTGCTGATATGGTACAGAGTTGATTATGAAATGCATGTTAATAACAGGTGACAAATGCCTTCATAATGCAGAAAAGGATAGCTCAGATAGGCCTGAATGCTTGACTTTGATGATTAGCTCAGAAATAAATGCTTCCTCCCATACACATTTTTCTAAAGTAGACAAATTTTGCATAAAACACTTCACAAGCTGCAGACAATCTGGCTCTCTGTGTGTAATTGGTCATTCAGTGACATTTCCAATACTTAACATGTTGCTGAAATTTCCTTACCAGATTTTCACTTTCTTCATGCAGGAAGAGTCAGAACAGGAATAGATTTCTCTTCACAAGTTCACTCCCCATGGAGATGAAATGAATTTATCTCAGACGTGCAGGCTTCTGAATCGAAATCACTCAAAGCGCTCAGACATCTGCTTCTGGGCCCAGACAACAGAGGCAGTTGGGAAAAAAGACGACAATTCATTCAAAATCTACACCAAGTCAACATACCATCAAATTAGGGATGAGCATAGGAACCTGAATACTTGGAAGCGATAGAAATGAAAAAACAATAACGAACATTAAACTTCAGAATATTTCATACCAATCAAATTCCAGCAACTATGCAAAATTGGGCCTCATTAATTCTGTGATTTGTTTAAGGTTACAAAAGGATGACAACTTGTGTTGTCAAACAAAGTGGAGCGCAACTTGTTGAAACCAAATGAAAGGGCTTATAACAGTTTTTAAAATGTTACTATTTTGACTTGACAACACGGTCTTAAAAATGTCATGCTCGCATTGTGAAATGCTATAAAAACAGCAAGATGCAATTATGCAACAGTCAAAAATGCATGTATACAGAAGCCTCCATTTAAAAAAAAAAAAGAAAGTACTTTAACAGGCAAAATGACCAAAATGCACATCTCTAAATGAAGCATTTATTTCCACACTCTGTTTATTACATATAATACATCTTAATGTCAAAAACAAACAAACAACAAAACAATTCAAAGAAATGGAGACATCAAAAAGAAATGTGACTAGAATACATTATGAGTATGAATGAGTTCTTTGCAATTTCATGGCATATAACCATATTGTAATCAGCTGTACAGTATATAACTCTGCAAATATTGTCTTTTAATATCTAGTAATACCCAAAATACACTTTAATTAGGCAGACATAAGAGCTGAACTAAACGGGGAACATTTATATAAAATATTTTTTTTCCAGCAACATTCAAAGAGTCAGCAACTGAAGATAAAATGAAATGTCAAACTGATATAACTCAAACTGTAATATTAAAATCACTAACAGTGACTGTGCAAAACAATATCTCATGTACAAACTAATGGCCCCAACCCAACATCTGAGATGACATGGATAATACTGATGCCAATGCTGGAAAATCTGTCTTCCAGAAATGGATGTTGAGAAAAAAAAAACATTCATGGTAGAAACTAACCAGTGTTTTGTAGAGTCATCTGAATCATGAGGTACATGCACAATGTTAAACAGGGAACGGACGTTTTTAAAATGCCTGGCATTCCCAGGACCCCGCACTTATGACAGGAAATGTATCGAGAGAGAAGCATAACCAGAGGCAGAAACCCCTTCATCAATCTAAACAAGTGTGACGCCTGGAAGGGTTCAGCAGTCAACTGATTTGCTGCTACCACTCCAATAATAATAATAATAAAAGTATATTGAAATATACATGAGAAGAAACTTTTCAGTAACTTGTACTGTAATTGCCCAATCAACCACAGAAAGACATCAAATAAACATTTAAGGAAAGCTGTTTAGCTAGAAAAAATACCATTTGAAATGGTATTTGTATTCAGCTAAAACTGCAAATATACTGTTAAATATATAGACTCTACAACAGATGTATTATATTTTTATTTGTTATTGATGTCTTAAGTTTTTTTTTTTATTTTTATAAATGAGTCAAAAATGCCTGAAAATTGTTTGGAATATTTACAGAAGCAAATCTTTAGGACTTCTATATCATTAGAGAGATCATTAGAAAGCAGACTTTTGTGCTTAATTCAGTGCATAAAACTCAAGTTTCTTACCTGTTCTTACCTCAAAAAGGTCACAAAAAACAAAACAAAATTGTCTGACCTACATGTGTCTGTAGCTCCCAATTTAAAGCTGAGAAATCATGACACACTCCCCATATTAAAAAACAACAACATCTGACAGCATTGATAAGATTGTTTAATAATGAGCTGTGGCTGTAATGATGGGCCTCTGTGAACTGTGTGTGCGTGTGTGTGTGTTTGGGAGCTGAGTGGGAGGAGATGACCTGATGACAGGTCATATAAGTCAGATGTAATGAGAGAGCCGTCCATGCCCGTGGCCTAGCTAAACGACCGTATCTGCCGTGCTCATTAGACGAATGATGTACGACCCCTCTGCCCCATCCCTCCTTCAACAACACACACACTTGACTGACACTCTCCACAGTGGGAGCGCGGGATTGGGGCACTAGGAGGTGTGGGTGATGTGGGGATGTGGAGGAGAGAGGGGAGAAGGTTCACAGCGAAACTGACTGCAGATTGAATGTGCTCCAGTGAGCTTAGAAAAACAGAGAGCGCAGGAGAGAGGCAGACAGTGACATCCAGATAACAGAGGTTAAGGCCAGGACATTACAGGCCGAACAGCACCTGGACAGAGTCACTGTAGACTACAAACTGTAGAGGCTGAAGGAGAAAGGTGAAAGCTGATCAGAGACAGAGCTCCAGGGAACACCGTCAGAATGCCCGCATTCTTTTAGGGAACGCCCACATTGATTTTTAAAGGGGTCTTAACACACACAGTTTCTGCCAATCTCATGTTAATCTTGAGTACCTATAGAGTAGTATTGCATCCTTCATATCGCCGAAGTGTCTTTAGTTTTATCAGATTTATAAAAGACAGATACAGCTTCATGATTCTCTCCGAAAACAGTCGAGCTCCTGGAGACGTGCCGTGGGCGGAGCTAAAAATTTAAGAGCATGCGAAGGCGAAGCTTTTGCATAGAGATTGTCTGCAAGCTGTGACATCGACATAAATAAAACAGGAACAAAAACACACTTGCACAACTCAATTGTTGCCCCAGAAAAACAAAGTGCATCCTCTGTTCCTTTAACGCTGGGTTCTTTGGGAAGCTGAACAAGGTTATCTTTCCCTCACAACCAAAAACACATTTCTTTGATGACATTGTTGATTTTGTGGTCAAAAACAAAAAGTAAAATGTAGGGCTGCACGATAAATCGCATGCGATATTTAATGCGCATCTTGTCAGTAAAGCCGGTTCTGTAATCAGCGGTAAATCTCCATCACAAGCGTGCTTTCACATGGAGCAGCATTTACTACACAGACCCGCTGTTCACTGACAAGCTGCGCAAAACCAAGTTCATATATGATTGTGGTTTTGTGCAGCTTGTCAGTGAACAACGGCTCTGTGTAGTAAATGCTGTAAATCATGTAGTAAATAGTAAATCATGAAAGCACGCTTGTGATGGAGATTTACCACTGATTACAGAACCGGCTTTACTGACAAGACGTGCATTAAATATTGCATGCGATTTATCGTGCAGCCCTAGTAAAATGCTTCTCGAGCAAGTACTGTGCAGCGCTGCCGACGACTTCTGTAACCCCAATGAAGCACATTGATGGGCTGTTCGTATAAGCAATAAGTAAAAAGTAATACATTTCACAAGAGTTGTAAGCTTGCAGTCTTAAATAAATATGATGGGATTTGGTTTCCTCAGTGTAAAAACAGAATTCCACAACAGTTCAAAAGTCTGAGGTCAGTAATATTTGTTTTTGAAAGAAATCAATACTTTTATTTAGCAAGGACACATTAAATTGATAAAAATGAAAATACAAGACATTGATAATGTTACAACAAAAGAGTTCTATTTCAAATGAATGCTGTTGAACTTGCTATTTATCAAAGAATCCAGAAAAAAAATGTATCACGGTTTCCACAAAAATATTAAGCAGCTCAACTGTTTGCCACATTGATAATAATAGGAAATGTTTCTTAAACACTAAATCAGCATATTAGAATGATTTCTGAAGGGTTATGTGACACTGAGTTTTAAAATATATTAAAATAAAAAATAGTTGTTGTAAATTTTAATAATATTTCACTTTATTACTGTTTTTACTGTATTTTTTTTATCAAATAAATGCAGCCTTGATAAGCTTGAGAGACTTCTTACAACAAAAAATACAAAAAATTCAATCTTACCAACCCCAAACTTTTGAATGGTAGTATATGTAGGAAACACCATCAATACCATGACGATTTTGGCTTTTGATATTCGTTTCCATTAGTGATTTGGGTGGACTATAGAAGGAGCTTTGTGTACTACTCATATTTAAAAAAAGCAAGAAAAATCTAGTTTTCCATGATATGGCCCATTTGATTCCCTCCAAAGTAGTTGCAGAACCAAAACAAACAGGCACTATCAGAACACAATCGACCATATCTTACTCTGAGGTTATGTTACCTTTATTGGGGCTTTGCCAGTGATGTTGGCCACAAGGAAATTCATGGCAATATCCTCACAGTTCATATGAGCATCCACCCAGTTCTTAATGTCTCCGGGCATTTTATACGTGTAGAGATAGTTGAAGTACTGAAAAAGAAAAAGAAAACTGTCAAAAAATTTTTTGACAATGTAAGAAACATAATGAACCATTTTGATGAAACGAATGACCTTAATTTAGGGTTTTGAATTACAAATGACGATAACCTCTCTTGATCTCTAAGGGACACCATAAAGGGAGGACGGGGACATTGACAAGATTTTGGCACAACCCTGGACAGAAGTGACGGAGTCTATGATGGATTTGTGCTTTACCTTATGATAGAATGCAGCTCCAGTCAAGACCATTGACACTTCATTGGTCCACTCAGATTCATATTTCCACTTGCCCATTTCGTGGTCCCACAAGTGGAGCCGTCCAGGATATCCAACCAGCCTATCTGGAAACTCACGCCACACCTACACACAGACACAAACAACACATCCGAGACATAATATAAACCATCACAAAATCTAAAACTATAAAGGATCAGTCAACTATTCAACAATTAGAGCCATTTTAGATAATGCTGGCTTCAAAGGATGGTAAACCTTGAATATCAAGGGTTAAATCAATGAAGTTTAGGTCTAACGGTTTGTTAATCCAAAAAAAAATAAGGCAGGCCTACATGATATGATGTAGAAATTCTTGAATGTCATTCCCCTGTGGCAAAAGCAGCTAGTGTTTTAGCCAGGCAGCCATGTCTAAAGCTGTCTTCCATTTCATACAATTATCCATAAATTATGCTTCATTCTCTCAATAGTGTATAAATGCCTGCAGGTGAGTTGAAGGCAAGCCTGTAGCCATGGACAGCATTGCTTGTCCTGTCATCCTTCATATATAAAAAGAAAAACTAAATTATAAAAATAGAGACTTCAACCGTAAGGAATGCTTTGAGATGCCGAGCACAGATTTAGGCAACAGAGGACGGTTCAAAAATCCTGCACTGCATGTAAGATCAACTTTAAGTAGGAGTGACCCAAAGAGGTACTGGGATCACAGTTCCGCTCTATCATCATTGTGCATGTGGAGAAGACAATTAATCCCTAGTTGCTCCAGATACAACCCCTGGAAATACTGTGAATTTAGGCAACTACTTCAATCAAATCTATTTAAATATAAAAAAAAAGGTGGTCATCCAGTGCAATAATCTGTAAATCACATGCAGACTAAGAAAGTTAACATTTCTTTCAGCCTACCCAATTTCAAGGCATTTTCAGACCTGTAGTTTGTCTGTTTTGTTCCCAAACAAACCAAACTAAGTAAGAAAAAGCACCAGGTTCCAAAGAAAACTTTAAATGCTCGAAAAGCAAGCTCCAAGTATACAGGGAAAAATGTATTGATTTCTCCCTGATCCAATAATGGCTGAATTTGAAATCACGAACTACTTTTACTGAATTACAATTAGTGCATCCAAAATAAAAGTACACTACATTTCAAATGTTTGGGGTCAGTGAATTTTTTCTCTTATGCTCACCAAGGCTTCATTTATATCAACAAAAATACAGTAAAAACAGTAGTATTGCAAAATAACATTACAATTTATAATAATTATTTTAATATATTTTTACAATGTAATTAATTTTCATGATTTCAAAGCTGAATTTTCAGCAGGCATTACTCTCACTCAGGTCTTCAGTGTCACTTGATCCTTCAGAAATCATTCTAGTATTGCTCATTTGAAGTTCAAGAAACATTTATTCTCAATGTTGAAACGGTTGTGCTGCTTAATATTTTGTGGAAACAATGCTACTCTTTTTTCATGATTCCTTGATGAATAGAAACCACAAAAGAATGGCATTTATTTGAAGTGACTTTACTGTCACTTTTTAACAATTTAATGCATCCCTGTTGAATAACAACAACAATAATAATAATAATTTATTTCAAATTCTTGGCCCTAAACTTTAGAAAAAAGCGTGTGTGTTATGCAAGAGGACTGGTTTGCGGCTTGATGCGGCTTCAAGACCCAATACTGATTTACATCAAGCTACCCGTATATACTAAACCTCCTTTGTTGTAGTACATATTTTTTGTAGTAAGTAGTAGTACACAAATAGAGATTCAGTGCTTTTACTACCTCATATCCAAACTGCAGCTCATCTGAGGTCAACATGATGATGTCATCATCAATGGCCAGGACAGCTTCGGTTTCGATCTCATCAAATGGGAAGAAGCGATTGCTGAGCTTGTTTTCTTTGGTGCGGACCACTTTAAGAGGTACCGTGACTTTGGGCCAAAGCGACTCTGTTACAGAGAGAAAGAAAACAGTGAGCTAATAATAATACACTGTCAGTTTCAGAGAAGATGAAAAACTATGAGAGATGGCAGCAACTGTGGAAAAGAGAGCGTGGGTGGATAAATCTCAACACATCACTGAGTAAAAGCACATATGAATCTGACCACACTTACATTCTTCTCAGGGCAGAAGAGACAACGCTCTTTATTTTCAGTTGTGTAAGAGCTTGGGAGGAGTTCAGAGCACGCAGAAGACAGATGGCACACACAGTCACTTAATAAAACTGACGAGAGAAAGTCTACTGAAACTCAAACACAGAGACCCTAAGGGCTGGGGGAAGTCAGTGATTATACCGCTACCTCAAAGTCGGGGTATAGACCCTGGAAATTAGTGCTGGGCGGTATGACCAAAAATTTATATCACGGTATTTTTCAAAATTATACCGGTTTCACGGTACATGACGGTATTTTAGCTGTTTGAAATAAACAAACATAATCAGCAATGGAAATGGTATGGAGGAAATCCATCCTCATCAGGGCCTGCGCCCCTGGTTGACCCGTGAACAGACCTTATTAATTCTAATGGGTCACAAAAGCTTGAGCCCGGCTTCACTGACGCCTCTAATCAAAGGCAACAGCGAATCATTAGTCTACTTCAAAGTATTTCCCTTCATAATGGCATTACTCAAATCTATGGAGAGGATATATTTAATTCCCCATTCCTTTTTTTCCCAGGGACTTCATAAACAGACGACTACCTAATCGCCTTGTATCATTAGAGGCAGAGCCACAATAAAGAACTACTAATATCAGCTTATTTTGACAGGTCTAATGGGCCATAAATTTGACCACAGCCATAGGAAAGGGAGACCGTTATGGAAACTATCCTTTTGGTTTGACAATAAGGTTTAAGGGTGGACGTCTGGTTAAAACAAGCCATATATCACAATGAATTAAAATACACTTCATTCGTCTAGTCAGGCGTAATAGGACCCATAGATATCAACAGCTCATAGTCAGTCAATGAGAAAAGCAACATTTCTGCCGTCTCCTTATGCCGAGTTCACACTGCACGATTTTAGCCCGATTTTTCACTCGCCGACAGGTTTTGCGAAATCGCCGACAAATGCCTGACATCGGAGGCAAATCGGTGCTCGTTCACGTGAGTGACAATCACGCAGTGTGAATTATCAAAGACGCGATCTGAGGGAATCGCCGATGCGTCGCCGACGCCCGTGAAATATTTGGCATGCTAAATATCTGGAGCTGTCGGCGATTCACAATCACGCTGTGTGCAATGAGTTCTGACTGAAAACTACATCGGCGATGACCTACAGCCAATGAGAGACCAAGATACAGGGCAGAGGGAAGTTCGGGGAGGAGTTATAGACCAGAATATCAGTATTTTAATAGATATAGCCTATGAACAATTATATCATACCGACACAAGCACAAACATTTGCATGACCAGCCACAACATCAGCATAACAGTTACTGCAAAATTATTTACCTCCAACAGGGTAAAAAAGGTGTTTAATCCCTGTTCCCTGCATCTCCCTCCTGCATAATCTTTTTCTTTTTCTCCTTGTAGCTGGAAATCAGCTCACAGACAATTTGCCGGCTATATAACCTCAGATAGTCACGCAGTGTGAAAACAACGGCGATCCGACGAGTTTGAAAATCATGCAGTGTGAACTCGGCATTACGTGCATCTACATGCCAGGAGCAGTACTACCAAACACTTCGTATCTGAAGATAAACCAGAGAGGTTTGGCCACAGCCCAAGGCACATTATGCTTTCAATTCTCCAACCTCAAGAGGAACACGATTTGGCTATTCACTGGCTTATCATTCATCTGTTCCATATGAGGGGTTTCATGTCTTTTGTGAAAGCCGCACAACTGCATTTCATACGAGTGTCACATTTTCATTCTATAATAACTGAAGCTGTCAGAACAACAGTGTAGATTTAGTCACAATCTCTTTTCAAATTCAACAACTTGCTTAACAAATAAAATCCATTTGGTCAAGCTAAATATGTTTTATTATCCTGAACGAGTATGGCAAAAACCAAGAAAACACCAAAATACAGCATTTAAAATTACATATGGTACAGATACATAATGCAACCCTACAACAATGCGACACTAACCTTCAGGGGGGCTCTTGTTCTGGTTGTTCCACACCACCAGTAGTTTGGCCAAGCTGGGCACCTTGGAGATCTCGGTGATGACCCTAAAGAGACTTTCGATTCGATCATAGGTCAAGACGACTTATTTAATGACTTGAAGAGCAGTAAGGTAATCAGCAACCTCGGCCAAAACATGGCTTTATTTGGAAACATGCATGGACTATAAAATTGAAAGATTACTGAGAATGCTAATAACCAGCAGTGGTGGGTAGGTGATTAAAAGTGGCACGGAATGTTGAGCACACAACCAACAAAGTTTAGAGCAGAGTTAAGAAACAGCTGGAGCAGCATGCCATGACCATTCATTGCGCCAAACATTCACCTAAACCTTCTCCTTCAGACCAAAAAATAAATAAATTAATAATAATAACAATAACATAAATACATAAAATAGTAGCAACAACAACAATATATATATATTTATATACACACACACACACTACCGGTCAAAAGTTTGGGATCAGAACGTTTTTTAATGTTTTTTACAGGAGTTTCTTATGCTCATCAAGGCTGCATTTATTTGATAAAAAATACAGGAAAAAATGTAATATTGTGAAATATTATTATGATGTAAAATAAAGTTTTTCTATTTTAATATACATCAAAATCTAATTTATTCCTGTGATGCAAAGCTGAAGTGTCACATTTTCATTCTTTAATAACTGAAGCTGTCAGAACAACAGTGTAGATTTAGTCACAATCTCTTTTCAAATTCAACAACTTGCTTAACAAATAAAATCCATTTGGTCAAGCTAAATATGTTTTATTATCCTGAACGAGTATGGCAAAAACCAAGAAAACACCAAAATACAGCATTTAAAATTACATATGGTACAGATACATAATGCAACCCTACAACAATGCGACACTAACCTTCAGGGGGGCTCTTGTTCTGGTTGTTCCACACCACCAGTAGTTTGGCCAAGCTGGGCACCTTGGAGATCTCGGTGATGACCCTAAAGAGACTTTCGATTCGATCATAGGTCAAGACGACAGCCGTGAACCCAGGTGAACGTGGCGGTATGAGAGGAAGGAAAAGTGGACTGTTCACACTTGACCATTTCTGTTGTGATAAAAAAACAATCAATTTAAATGAATCAGTGGGAAACTCAATTCAGTGTACCTGTTTTATTATCTTTACTACAAATGCAAGTACTTTCCATGACTTATTTAATGAGTGACTTTTTTTCAGGATTCTTTGATGAATAAAAAGTTCAAAAGAAGAGCATTTATTTAAAATAGAAATGTTTTCTAACAATGTACACTACAGTTAAAAAAGTTTGGGGTCAGTAAATTTTTATTCTTTCTTTTTTTGAAAGAAATTAAAACTTTTATTCAGCAAGGATGTCTTAAACTGTTAAGAAGTGGATAGCAAAGATTTATATTGTTAGAAAATATTTCTATTTTGAATAAATGCTGTTCTTTTTAACTTTTTATTCATCAAAGAATCCTGAAAAAAGTATCGCAGTTTCCAAAAAAATATTTGGCAGCACCAACTGTTG